GTGTGTGTGTGTGTGTGTGTGTGTAAAGAATGATGTCTTTGTAGGTGTTGTGGTCGCTCTCTGTGGAATGCACAGACTTCTGGGAAAAAAACGCACAGGTCGTTTCTTTTTTTCAGATTTGTGAAGGGGAGAGAAAGTGCAGTTTGTATTTTTCTAAGTGAGAGCCAGGCCGGCAGCAGCAGGACGCTCTCACAGCCTGAGAATCCTGTGGTCGCACGAGTCCGACGCTTTTTCAGAAGAGAAACGAACGTAAATAAAGGTTTTAACAGGTTTTTTTTTTTTTCTTGACGACTGATAATAACGACGTGAGGTCATTTTTTAAATAATTGATTTAAATAATCATAGTCTGTGGATTATTCTCTCAAATGTCTAAACACATTCTGACGTCTTCAAACGCGTTTTATCCAACGTGCAAATATTCACGTGTGAGAAGCTGCAGCCAGATAAACTGGAAACTGAAGTAACCGTCGATTAAAAGACCAATTAGCTCAAGTGAACATGAGCCGGGTTAATATGAATATGGTCAGTGTTCATACAATAAAACCAAAATAATAATGATAAAGACATGATAAGTCCACTGTTCTTCACTGTTACACTAGTGAAGGTCTGCTGATTAAAGTCTTGACTCCTGGTTTCCTCTGCAGGAGAGCTGAATATATTCACACACACACACACACACATACACACATTCCTCTGAGCTGATATTATAGATGAGATAATGAAAGGTTGTCTGAGGAGCAGGTGGCAGCAGCTGATATTACTGCCTTCCCAAAGGAACTCGGATAGTGTGTGTTTGTCTCACACACACACACACACACACACACACACACACACACTAATAGACACACTCTTTATCCCTGGAAAAGGCAGAGAGATATGTGGGATTAAAATACCCATTGAGGTCATGTGACTTTCCTTTTCTACTGAAACACACACACACACACACAAACAGCTGACTGTGAGGTCAAGGCCACAGCTGACGGACTTTAACGTGTCGGCCTCTAAACGTTTGCTAATTGTCAGCAAACACAAGTTCAAGTCTGTGGATGAGACGCATTCAAATTTAAACCTGATGATGGCGCTAGAGAGACGTGAACGTTTGCACCAAATTGTTCGTCGATCTTATTTATCGAGACATTTAAAAAAAACTACAGATTTTAACCTGGTGGTGGCGCTACAGGTCAAGTCAGAGCCTCGCTGAAGTTGTGAGGGTTCATCCTCAGGGAGCCGTGAAAACGTTTTGGTTTTTCTTGTAGCGAGTTTCTGTCTTTTACGTTTTTCTGTCATGATTTCTAATTTGTTCGTCTTCTCCTCCGTGCAGGACGTCCACCGCTCCCACCGTCCTAAAGACAAACTCCACCTGGACAGCAACAACAATGAGAACTCCGTCCCCAAAGACTTCGACTCCATCGACAGCAACAGCAACCTCGCTGCACGCTCGCAGCGCCAGCGAGCGCTGGTCGGAAACGGCAAACATAAGATGGACAAAGTGCAGAGCATGCTGGGAAAATCTGCCAACGACGTCCTCAAGTTGCCTCCGATCCAACGCAGAGGGATCGGGCCCGGTCGCAACCACACCCACGTCCATAAACCCCACCCCCAGACGCAGACGCTCCCGGCACCGGTCCGGGGGTCCGATCAGGATCCGGCGCTCCTCCGGGCGAAGACGATGATCCAGACGAACCTGGAGCCGAGGAAGGAGCAGCCGCAGTGTGAGGTCAGCGGGAAGGAAGCCATCTCCGCTCTGTCCCGAGCCAAGAGCCGCGGCTGTCGTCAGCAGATCGTGGAGGTTTACTGCAAACACAAGGAGCGAGCGCTGATGCCCGAGAGAGTGCCTCGCTACTGCCCCCTGGAAGGTGAGAGCAGCCGAGCGAGGCTTTAAAAGATTCACCTCGAATAACAAGAAGTTCACGATGAACTTTGAGACGAGGTTCAAACCAAGAGAACGAGTTGTGAAAACGAAATCATTCAGATTTTTAACGACATGAGTCTCAAGATAACGATGTTTTTCATGTCAAGTAAAATCGTTCAGATTTTGTAGATCACGTGCTGTGACATCATCCACTTCCATGCACCAATCAGAGACCAGGGTTTTACTCATGAAAACGTGAGAGCAGGTGAGAAAGTTGAAGAAAATGTCTCGAGGTTTTTATTATTTATAACTGAAGATTCGTGCAAAGACAAACTAAACGCTGTTTGCTGACACGTGTGGCGTCGGCCCTCATCGCTAAAAGATCTGGAATCTCCTCGTCTTTCCAGGTTGACGTCTTCGTCTTCTTCGTGTTCGGCTCCTCTTCTTCATCCTGACATATTTGTGTTCTTCCAGTTTCACGTCCGTCACGTGTTAGAAATCCTGAGCGACGGACTCAGACATTTGTGTTCTGACATACAGAACATGTCGGGAACACGAGAAAACTCGACCATTAAAATGAGATGAGATGAGACAAGTAAAGAATCTGAGTAGAAAGTTTTCAGAGAGAGCTTGTAAAGTTAAAGGTCTGTGTGTGGTGGCGCTCTGGAGCCTCGTGTTTGGCGTGGATCCAGAGTTTGAGCGTCTGAGTCGTGGTTTCAACGTATTGAGCTTTGATTTTAGGGCTGAATGATGTTTTCACCTCAACGTAGTGATTGGGTGAACAAATGAAAGGCTGACAGTGAGAGTGAAGGAACGAGAAGAAACTTTCTTTCTTCTAAATTTACTCGTTGAGGAACATTTTTAACTCGGCACGTGCCGCGGCCATGAGGACGCGTCCCCTTGGTTTCCACTTCTATTCCCAGGGACACAAAGCATGAATGGACACGGGGAGGCTGCTCATCCAGGGTAATTACACCCTAATCAAACAAGCAGTTTGTCGTCGTATTTTTGGAACGGCTGACTAACGATTTGTAGTCGCTCTCTTGGAACCACCCTGGGCTGTTTGAGGTTTCATTTATATGATTACAGGTTTCTTTGATGGCACGCCCGTCCTTCCATCCGCACCGAAGCTGCAGCAGTAACTTGATTTGCTTCGGTCTGATGTCGGAGTTTGACTGACGTGCACTGACAGAGAACAAGAGGGTTGTTGGAAAAGTTTGGTTTCTCTGTGCTAATGCCGCCATAAGAGCAGATCCACGTCTGCCTCCATGATTACAGTCATTCCTCCTCAAACTCCAATCCCAGCATGCCCCACAGCCAGGGAAGGTCACTAATTAGGCCGAGCAGGCCTCAACCCGTGCCATCTTTAAAGTGAGTGTGATGACGGAGACGCATCAGGCCGTCATAGACCCTGAATACACAGGAGGCAGATTTAGCTCCGGCTGCCACAGACAGAACATTTCCACCAACGACCGAAGTGAAGGAGGACGAGTGAAACACTCAAATGACCCGGTTGACTTTACTTTAAATAAAGTTTCTCTGAATCTAAAACTAATAAAAGTCAGAAAGAGGTGAAGCTGCACTTCATCATTTCAATCAGCCAATTTAATGGTTTGTCTTTTCTGATCAACTTTTCGTTTGTATCAAATAAATAAAAGCAGCAGATCCTCCCATCAGAGGCCGCGAGCGTTCAGTTAACCACTGAGCTGGTTCCTGTCTGTGCAGGGAAGGCTAACGTGAACGTGCAGTGGGACAACAACCTCGCGGACGCTGCGCAGCTCGAGCGCGTGCGGATCGCCTTCGTCCTGGTCGTCCACGGCCGAGCCTCGCGTCAGTTCCAGCGTCTCTTCAAAGCCATCTACCACACCTCACACTACTACTACATCCACGTGGACCAGGTAAAACTCTGACCCTCATCCACAAAGAGACGAAGCTGCTTTTATGTATGAAACATTGATGAGTGACCTCAACGTTCCTCCTCTTCTCAGAGGTCCGACTACCTCCACAGAGAGGTCCTCTCTCTGGCCGCACGGTATCCTAATGTCCGCATCACCCCGTGGCGGATGTCCACCATCTGGGGCGGAGCCAGCCTGTTGACCATGTACCTGCGCAGCATGGAGGACCTCCTCAAAATGACCGACTGGTCCTGGGACTTCTTCATCAACCTGAGCGGTGCTGATTACCCGATCAGGTGAGTCACGACTGACGCTGGTTTAATGGAACCGAAACTAAATGTTGAATTTCAGCTCAAACAATGAATTCAGTGTTTGAATTTAACTAAACAAGAGAAACTGTTCAGGCGTCTGACCTAAAACAAGAATCAGAAAAAACGACTTCTTTTTCTTTTGGAGCGAATTAAATCGTCCGAATCGAACTGAACAAACCACGACAAGTGTGAAGTTCTCCAGGTTCATTATGTCTCAGTGACCAGAGACAGTCACAGACAGACTGTCTCTAGTCTGAGGACGAAGCAATGTCTTCATCGTCCTCATAGAAAGACATGAAACACACACTGTCCTAACATGAGAGTGACTGAACACGCTTCCAGCCAAAATCCATAATACAGCTACAGCATCGACAGCTGACGTCATGAGGCCACATGCAGTGTGAGTCGATGGATCTGTGTGTGTGTGTG